GGTTTAGGGTTGAGGGTTGAGGGTACGGAATTTCGAGTTGAGGGTTAAGGGTTGAGGGTTGAGGGTATGGAGTTTAGAGTTGAGGGTTAAGGGTAGAGGGGTTAGGGTTTAGGGTTGAGGGTTTAGGGTTTAGGGTTTCGGGTTTAGGGTTGGGTTTAGGGGTTCAGGGTTTAGGGCTTAGGGGTTTAGGATGTGGGGCTGTGCTTAAGGGCAGAGTTCTACGTGGGGGTATAGCTGCCGTGAGTGGGGTCATCCTAGTCACAACCCTGCTTATAATCTTACGTACTAAGTCCCATGAGCCGCCAAGCAGGGTCATCGTTTCACGTGCTAGAGTGTTAAGTTTAGGGTTAGGGTGTTGGGGTTCTAACTTTAGGGTGTTAGGGTGTAGGGTGTGGGTGTTCGAGTTTAAAGCCTAAGGTTTAGGGGTTAAAAGCTTAGGGGCTTGAGGGCTTCAGATCTTCATATAAGGGCCTTTAGGGGATGCTAAGCCCTAAACCCTAAACCGTATGGGGCTTTAGAGAAGCCTTGAAGGCTTCCATGCTTTGGGGCTCAGGGCTTAGCGGCTTAGGGGTTTAGGGTTTAGGGTTTAGGATTTAGGATTTAGGGTTTATGGTTTAGGGTTAACCCTAAACCCCTAAACTAAACCCGAGCGGGTGGCCTTGGCCCAATCCTCGTCATGAAGACCAAAGGCACCTCGCGGAAGACTTAAATCTCAGGGCTGAGGGTTCCTGTTGACGCTCGGATGCAGATAGTTGGGTTTTGGGGCCCATTATGCTATAATTTAAAATAAGGAATCCCAAAAAAATATAGGTAGTTATTTAGGCCCCTACATCATGCTTGTGGGAGTACGGTCGAAGCTTTTGGGATGCTCAAGGCTAAATCGATCGATCCTTGCGTGCTGGGGAAGTGTCGTTCGTCTTTGTTGGCTCAGGGGCGTAGGGTTCTAAGGCCTATGCTTTGGGGCTTAGGGTTCAGCATTCAGGGTTAGGGCATCGGGCTCAGGGCTAAACGTTCAGGGCTTACGGTCAGGACTTAGGGGCTCGCGCGGAAAGTTTGAGTGATGATCCTGCACATCCCGGAAGAGGAAACCTGCAGTGATGCCGTGCCTGTAGCGGAAAAGACCTACATGTTTAGGGTTCTTTATGATGGTTTCCATATATAGCTCCTTAAAAAGGTAGGTCTTTGGGGCTACAGGTAAGCCCTAAACCCTAAACTCCAGCCCTCAAACCCGATCCGAGCTGCAAACGCCTCTGTCCAGTCCTCAACCTTTAGCTCCAAACCTCAACCCTGAGTCCTAAACCTTAAACCTTAAACTCCCTAAAACCCTAAACCCTAAAACCCTAAGCCCCTAAACCCTAAACCCAGACCCTTAAACCCTAAACCATAAGACCTCAACTTCATCCGAAACCGCTGCAGCACCAGGGGCTCTTGAAGCGACGGCGACGGTCTGGGCCACCGCGGCCGCCCCCGACGGAAGCGCGGAGGAGGGCGCGCCTGCAAAAACGAAGAAGGGCTTTAGGATGTCGTGTTCAGGGTTACCCTAAACCCCAGACCCTAAACCCTAAACCTTATAAATTAACCCTAAACCTTCTAAATTAGCCCTAAACCCTAAACTTTTTTGAGGGCATGCAGAATGCCTCTCGACAGGCCTCTTTTAAAGGGCTTCGAGGTGAGGGTTCCCGGTTGTAGGGGTTTTAGGGTTTGGGGTTTCGGGTTCCCGGGTTTAGGGTTTAGGGTTTACGGTTTAGGGTTTAGGGTTTTAGGGGTTTTATGTGTATCTTGTTGACAAGCGTTCTACACCTAGGCAATCAAGATGTGGGGTGTAGGCTTAGGGCCTGGTCATGGGGGAGTTTGGGAATTAGGGTTTAGGGTTCCAGGGTTTAGGGTTCTAGGGCTTAGGGTTTAGGGTTATAAGTCATGATCCTTTTCGAGTTCTCGGTGGGGTCTGGGGTTTGGGATTTGCGGTTGGGATGCAGGCTTCGAGTGGGCTTTTGCAAAGGAAGCTGGACGAGTTTGCTTACACGGTTCTGAAGTGGTCGTCAAAATCAACCTGAACGTTTGTCCAAATTTGACATGCCGCACATAATTTGTATGGCATTGGCCTTGGACTGGACTAGCTACTTCGAAAGCTCGTGTAGGTTGCAACAAAGTCGTGTGGCGTCTAGCAGAAACATCCAAAGATGGTAGACCTTAACCCTAAACCCTAAACCCTAGTATGTAAAGTCATGCACTTGATAACTTTGGCTCGAAGGTGAGGCTGAGAAGCAGCCTTCTCTGCAAGATACCGGAGTGAACGGTGACTGCAACAAACATACTTGGAGGTTCATGGGTAGTTATAAGCATGGTTATAAGTCCCCTAATATGCGTCATAAGTATAGTTATCCTACTTGTAACCCTACTTATAACTACCCATGAACCTCCAAGTACCTCAAAGTACACCAAGCACAAACCCGAAGCTCAAACTGGGCCCTCGATGCCTCAAGCTGTCCAGCATGTCTGCGGTGACCGGCCACGTTTTTCCTTAGGAGCTACCATGTTCGGACATAGGGCAGCAGGGCATCCGGGCACCAGACCTCAACTTTCTCCACCGACATATAATCATGACCACAAGACATACTATGCATAACAACAATAATCATACTGATGGTAATAGTAGCTAGAAGCAAGAATTGTAATCAATATCATAATTTGTACGGGAGCGGATGAGGAAGACAACCGTGATTCGCGGGCACACGTCACTTATGCGGGTATGCGTCGTATGATGGGCTTCGTATTGATGAAGACAAATGTCCAAACAACGAGACTACCGGAAGATGCCCCTGCAGCAGCAGCCACCAGCACCCACCATCAGCAGTACCAGCAACATGGACTGCAACTAAACAACTCAAAAACAACAAGCAGCACCCAACACCAGCAGGAGCAGTTCCATCGACTCGGCCCGACGCTACAATCGAAAGGCGTCACAATGCATAGCTGTCGTTTTGAGGACCGGGAACATGATCTGCGCGCAGCTGGCATCTGATGACCAACGAGAGACTGATTATGCGGTGCCCTAGTCACCCTAGTCCAACCCCTACGAAAGATGGAATTGCCCAGAGGATCACCACTAAAACCTGTGCGCTGGAACCTTTGTTGGGACTCCTGTGATGGTCCTAATTCCTAAAACTGAGCCAGTGTCCGTAGCCAGCAGCCTTGTCGAAGAGGTCAGGATGGAGGGCGCCTGGCTTTTGGAGAGTTGGAGGGCTTGGGGCTCAAGCAAGGTCTGAAGTTTATGCATGTAGACCCCTGCATAATAAGACTCCCCTCCCTGAAGAAGGATTATAACGGTAGCAAGGTCCAAATCTCAAGGCCCAGAATCATCGAAAGGTGTTTCTTAAATCAGGGGCCTACAGAACCAAACACTGTGAGACCTGACTCTACACACAAAAACTTCACTGCGAAACAAGAACCTTCCGAGAAGCATAGCATTTTTGAGCACGAACATCCCGAAACACTTAAACCCTAAATCCTACACCCGACTGAAATCCTACACCCGACTGCTTTAAAGCTTGCTCCTTAAAAAGAGCCCTAGACAGCCTTGTAGAGCCCTCACAGAAGCCTGAAAAAAGAAACTATACACAAGAGCCACAAGAGCTCCTGAGTGCTCATCCATCATCCGGAAAGCCTCTGCAGCTGCCTCCACACCTCGGGGTTTAGGGGTTTAGGGTTTAGGGCCTAGGGCTTAGGGCTTTAGGGTTTAGGGTTTCGGGGTTTAGGGTTCAGGGTTTAGGGTTTAGGTTTTAGGAATTGGTCCAGGGTTTCGGGTTTGGGTGATGCTGGTCGCATCCGTGGCACAGTCCACGCGATCAGCAATCAGAACATCAGTGCGTACCCTGGTTACCTGGTTTGCCCTTAATTGTGCACAAACCGATATGCATACATGTACACGTCCGCACACATTCAAAGATGCCTTTCTAGACTTGCCCATCTATATCAAAATACCTACCTACATCAACATCCGTATCCATATCCAGACCCAGATGCATAGCCACATCCGCACACCTATCGATCTATCCATCCATCCATCTATCTGCATCCATGGAATTCGTCTCTCTGCCCATGTAGCTGTTGCAGGTCGCCTGAACCTGTTCTACTCTATAAAAGGAACCTTTCTCCAGCAAGATCCTGAGCCGCCCCGCTGCCCACTTCGTGAAGGAGCATGTGGGCGAAGTAATACTGCATGCACACCTGGGCTCTGAAATAAAGGATAGGGGTTTTGGTAGCTTCAGGGCTCGGGGCTTTGGGGGCTTGAGGGTAATTTGTAGGGTTTTGGAGCCCATCACATAAGTTAAGGCTGGACGGCTTCCGGTTTTGTACTCAGTTTCTGAAATGCGGAATGCCCTTTTATCAGACTTTCAGTTTCACGAGCGTTCAGATAGATTGAGTCATCGATGCTTTCTTCACTGCAAAGTCGCATCTAATCCAGAGACTTCTTCTGCCGGAAAACTGAAGAAAACTAGCTAATTAGTCGAGATAATTGATTTTACTCTCTTATGGAACCGGAAACTCAGCGAAAGAACTAACAACCACGTCGGATGTCTACAGTTTCCGGTCTTCTGCTATGCAACTCAGATGATCGGACATCTGCTTATGTTGAGTGCGCAACGTCGCGATCGCATCAAGGCGGCTTTTTCCATGAAGCTCCCTGCGTGTTGTCAGGCTGAGCAGCAGCTACCAACTTGTGCATCAACCTGTAAAATCAAGAAGATTGTAGGGAAGTCTTTCCTATGCTTGGTTGCGGCGCTCACGAGGTGGCGGCCGCGCTACATCATCTTGCAGTTCTTATCTTTGCTTTTGTTCGACTGCCGCTCGCGTTCGGCTTGACGGTCCTCACGTTCGGCTTTGCGGTCCTCAAGTTCGGCTTGGCGCGCCTCTCTGTCGCGGTCACGTTCGGCTTGGCGGTCTCTCTCCATTCGCTGCTCCATTTTCATCCTCTCCCTTTTGCTCTCTTCTGTTGCTCGCTCAGCCACTGCAGCTTGCCTTCGAGCCTCTTGCATTTTCACGTCGGCGTCTATGCGCTTCATGTTCGTGTCCTGCTCTTTCTGATTGCGGTCCAACGTCACCTTGCTCCACTCCCGGATGGCTAAAAACCAAACAATCAAGAAAGCCAGGGCAAGTCCCGCCAAGTACGGGGCAAGCTCTTGCAGAGATTGGAAGAAGTGCATCATGAACATTGAGAAGAACTCCTCGGCCTTCTCGCCGAAAAGCAAGCGGCCTGCTCCTGCAAAGGCAACGACTCTCACAGGCCAGCTAGTAAGGAAAGCCAGGAACGCCTCTGGCGCTGTCGGATTGCTCGCATGGCTTTGGGGATGAAACGAGGGGCCAACTCTCGAATACTGCCATCGCCATTGCTGATGCCATGCTGGTGTGCACAACGGCCAAAGCCGAAAACCCTGGAGCCTACACCTGGTGCAAAGCTTGAACCTCCTTCAGCGGGTACATTGGATACATACACAGCATCTTTAGCTTCCTTACGACTACGACTGGCTATCTCCACTACTGTTGCCACCTTCTTGCACGCGATTGAGATATCGAGGCCTTAATTATAAGAATGGGCTTGGGGAGTTTACATACTATAGTTCGAACAAGATCTCTAACGAATAGAAACATAATTAGCTACACCCGAACTCCATGCCAATGCTGGGTTTTGGCATAAGGGAACAAGCTATGGTGCTGCTGATGGACAAAATCTACACTACCGAAAATACCCTAAACTATGGGCACTATGGTATGTTCTTGTGTTGGTCTTGGTCATGCAGCAGCTGTCCATCCGCCGTAGCATCGTAGTTCAAGCCAGGTACCAGTCCGAGCAAACAGATCTTTGACTGCTCATCGACTTTGGTGACATTTTCCTGAGCACAGCAAGGGGGAAAAAAGGATTCACAAGTGACCCCCTCAATCCGGAAAAGATGCTTTACCCCTAAACCCAGAAACCCCAAAGCCCCGCAACTCCTGCAAACGGCTCCCATATAAAGGCATATGAAACTTCCTAGACTACATATAGGAGCCCTGGAAAAGGAACTCTAAAAGCCCTAATAGGAACCCTTCAAGGAACCCTGCAGAAGCCAGAATGGTACTTCTGCTCCCCAATCCGACTGTCGTACTCGGAGTTCCGGTCTGATGGCTTTTCAAAACCAAGCCGTAGCCTGAGTATAGGGCCCCTTTAATCATTAGAGTAGGGTTGCCTGGGTGTTGTGTCAAAAAACTTCTCTAAGGGCTCTGTGTCTGAGGGTTTAGATTTGAGGGAAGACTATAAGAGTCGTAATACTTTGAATAGGGCTTCGGCGTATGAGAAAACTAAAGCTGTAACAAGCAACCCTACGAATTATTTCTGGTAACTACAGACTGAGGCCCCTAGATTGAAGCATCAAGTTCAGAGATAGCTTGTTGGCTTTCAATCAAAGGCAAGCCCTGAAACCTAAAGTCCTATCCCAGACCCTGGAACCCGCATAAAACTCTTGTAAAACATAATAAAACCCTGTAGCCATAAACCCTAAAGCCTATATTTTGCAACCTGAAACCCTAACTCCAAAGGCGCCCCTCGCAGGAGTGAACCCTAAACCCTAAGCCCTA